GGCTCATGTAATTTTGTTTGTCCAGCCAAATAGACATTCGGACTTTGTCTTACTTGTGTTGGGATTGTTTTTCTTCATTTTCCCGCAACTTTATTACTGGCCATATGCCAAGGGGTAGAAAAATGTCCTGCGTGAGTATAAAAATAAAACATTTAGACAGGCAGTAGATGCATCTTTTTAAGCCTCCTACTGATTAACAACCATTCAATTGCGCAGACCAAAGGGGCAGTACATGCGTTGGAATTAGGGGTGATAAACTGTATCTGGATTCGTAATTGTATCTGTTAGGATATAGATATTCCAATCTATAACAGTGAGGATATGGTTACGGATATGGTTTTGTAGTAAAATATTCAGATTCATATACAAGATATTCAAATATATGTTGATCATAGAACTGCAATTATTCCAATCTTTAGATTAATGAATTTGAGAATAGTTCTGATGATCAAGAGTTCCAAACTAACTTTTCAGATATCACGAACATATTAATGAACTCTCTTGTATCATGTGAACTATAATTTTCAGATATTATTTTTATTTTCTCATATCCACTTTGTATCCCCGTGTATATCCCGATATACATCCGCATGTATATCCATATCCGTCTACGATTTTAGCGGATATAAATATGAATTTTCCTTAATGTGGTGCATCTGTATCCGTGAATGATAAGCGGACATGAATATGGTAAGTATCATATCCAAACCGATTTCACCGTTAGTTGGAATCCTCTTAGATTTGATTCATCAGGGTCCTTGGTGGCGGTGAAGGATTTGAGAATAAACTGCCAAACTAACAAAGTGTGTTTGGAGCACAGTACACGAACAGCCATCTGACCTTCCATTTCTTGGCAACGAAGCCCAAGTTAAAACTAGGGATTCATGTTGTGACCTTCCACGCCTTGGCAATAAGTAATTATAACGCTTCTTTTGTGCGCTAACTCTTTTGTATTCATATATTCAGATAAAAACAATTACAGCGCCTACACCTACAGCCATCTGAGTCCAAGCTTTCAACGCAGACAGACAGAGAACAACTAAGAAAGGCGTCCCTCTTTGCATCAGCAGATTATAACCCCACAAGGGGAAAGATACGCGTGATATATTCATGTAAAAGATTATGCACGCAGCGAAGTGCAATACAATATTCCTCAGCTCGCGTCTCTGGTGTAGAGTAATAGTTAATGCGCATGTACATAACACACGCGCACGCGCACGCACGTACTTGAATATCTATTCAAGCTGATGCAATGTAGTATCATGGTTTCGACAGGGGAGTAATCACAGAAATCAATTAATTCAGATTCAATTTCAAGCAGCAGCACAAGGAATTAAAGATGTCCAGAACTTGAGATACAAGGCTTCGCGACCCCCGGCCGCCGCCGCCGCCGCTGCTGCTGGGGTTGCACAATAATAAATCAAAGATGTGTAGAAATTGTATTGAGATTACGCACGCGGTCCTTGCATAGATGGTTTTAGAAGAAGTGGGTTGGTGTCATCTACAGTAGAGTGTTATGATGCTCCTCGCCTAACAACAGCTCTGTGCCATTCTTAAAATCAAATGCTTCAACGGATGTACAGTGTTCCCCATTACCCGTGTAAATTCACAAGCGTAAAATATTAAAATCTGAGGCAAATAACGACGTGACTGGTATGATTCAACAATTTTCTTGAATTTGTTTGGGCCGAGTGGGCTGTCAACTGGGCTGGAAACAAAGAACCGAACGAAACGGATCTAATCTTGGACCGTAGGTCTCTGGGCTGCGAGTTTGAAGCTTGGTCATCAAATTTTCGATTGTTCGAATCCAAGATCAAAAGAAAACGCCAGCTCCAAGAAAGAAAATCCCTCGCGGTCTTCATCTCTCCGTTCCGCTGTTGACCTGATTTTCGAATTCGACTTTATTGATCTTTGATCGGTTGCCCTCAGCAAAGTCTTCATTAAGCAAGCCCATCTACATTAGATGATCCAGGAGTTCTCAAAAGTGATGGATTCTCTATTCTCCATCAACCCTCAACTATTTTTTTTATTTACCATAAAACGTAACATTAACAAGTACAAAAAGAGAAGTATCCGTCAACGCATTCTATTGGGTGCGTTCCTGCCACTGTAGGATCAATCGGCTGTCGCCCACCAGGTTCCTGCCACTGTAGGATCAATCGGCTGTCGCCCACCAGACTGCTTCATCTTGGCTCCATCTGCTGCGTCTAAGTGTTAAAAACACAGACAGCAAACGAGAAAGAAAGGGAGAGCTGCATCTCAAATAATAACGGAATCTTGCATCATCAGCAAATTATTACCTTAAAATACATGACGTGTTCATATACAGGATTATACATGCACTGGTGGACTGCAACACAAAATTACTCGGCTCATGTCTCTCCTATAGAATAATGATTAATGTTTGAGCTCCCAGACTACTCTTAGCGTAAAAAGGAGAAATTATTAACAAATACATCCAGAAATGTCTTGCAAGATGGGAGTGATATTTACATAGCAAAGGTCACCCTTTTCGCTCCAAAGAAATCAGGCTCGTCGTCATCAGGTTCTGAAAGATGTACAAAGGAGCAGTCTCCGTTAAACATTCTAACAGCTATCCATAATGACGCAATCTAGTATCATGATTACAAGCTATGAAATGTCTTGCACTTTCATTATTTGAGGATAATAGAAGAAGCAACTTGGAAGAAATTATATACCTTTGAATCTTTGATAGAGTAAATAAGACACCACAGAAATCAGTCAATTCAGCTTTAATTTCAACGAGCAGCACAACAATGTTTTAAATATCAGCGGATAAACCGATATTATCGGCGATTTGCCGGTTTTGGGGGCCTTCCGCTATGATAAGTTCAATTCTAAATCGGTTATCGTTTTTTATTATTTATTGTCGATAGTGCGGCGATAAAGTGAGTTATCGGCCGATATTGTCAGCCCAAAAATCATTCAATTCTAAATCGGTTATCGTTTTTTAATGTTTATTGCCGATAGTGCGGCGATAAAGTGAGTTATCGGCTGATATTGTCAGCCCAAAAATCGGAACTATCGGCCTTTGGTTTGAGTTTTGATTTTGAGCAACGGACACCTATCCAATGCACTTTAAACCCGACCCGAGTTTCTACCATTAGTTAGTAATCCTAAACATAATTATTTACATTGTGGTATGTTTTATATTTCAAGTTAGATTACATTTTAGATTATTATATTATGTATATCACCATCCAGTAATGTCACTCCGATATATACTACTTATCCCTGACATATCCCCGATATCCGCTATCCAATATGAATTTTGACCCCGATAACCGATATTTAAAACCTTGTCCGATATGGATTACTATCTCATTTTTCTTCTTCTTTTGGGCAACTAGCCTGACCAAATCAAATGTTTTATGGCCAATACATCGGCTGAAACTTTGTTCGACCCAACCTGACCCGACCCAGCCAAACCCACCCAATCCAAGCTGAGCAAACCATAACCAAACCAAATCTATGACAATAAAGCAACCTAATACATCAGTAGAGGTACATTACAACACTTGCTTTGTACGGAATTTGTAACGACAACAACAACAAAGCCTCTATCCCCAAGTGTTTGGGATCGACTATATGAATTATATTCTTCCATTCCATCCTATTATGAGACATCTCCTCTACTAAGCTAACCATAACCATATCCTTCTTAATTATTGTAATTATAGTACGAAATCTGTACTTTCCACAAATTTAACTCGAGAAAGAAAAGAAAATAAACCACATTTACAATGTATAGCCTACGATAGTAACACATTGGATTATATGAAAATGTATCGTATTACACTGTAGCATAAATGTACAGAAGGGCAGAAAATATCTTCATGAAACAAAATTAAAAGATACCTGATTGGCATTCTGAAAGCCATAAGTCAATTTTCTCAATGATCTTCTGTCTCACTTTCGCTAATGCTTCAACAGATGTACAGTTTTCCCCATTACCTATGTAATTTCCAAGCATAAAATATCAAAATCTGAAGCAAATAACCCATTCTTCCAACCTTAGTAATATGATTTAACATGCAGAAAGCACTCAATGAGTATTTTCTACAACTTGTTCAGGCAGAAGCCAATTCATAGAATAAACAAATATAGATGATAAAGCACTGAAATAGAATGCTTCTAATCTACAATGTTCCCTTGAAATGTAGAAAATGTTCTCTAGAGTGCAGGACTAGTATAAGCATAAAAGAGAAACCGAGCTTACCTTCAATGTTTAAAGGAGATTGGGGACATCCCCTCAAATCGCTACCATGTCCACAATTATGGCAATCAACAATATAAGAAGGCACTGGCCATTTTCAAGAAAATTTTGTCAGGGAAAGTAATCAACAGTGAATTAAGAATTTTAAGCACCAATTTAAAACCCAAGTTATGTTTCATATGGCAAAGAAAATCTAGAAGATTAGGGGAAAATGTATGTAAACATGCAATAATGGAAGGAAAACAATGTAGCAATAACTTGACTTCAGCAGAAACATCATGAATAATATGAAGGTTTTCAAGCTTGTCATGCGTCTTTCCTGTGGAACAGCTCTGAAAAGTCAAAAGTTGTAGGTATCTTCAATAGCTTTCCAACGCATCTTAAATCACCTCATTCCGAAGTCGTACGTGAAAGTTATAACCAAAATACCGAAGACTATTTTCCCAGTCTGACTAGGTTTACTGTTTCGGGTTTGAGCTATTTTGATTCGGGTTTGTAGTTATAAATATATATGTTTACACACGAAAACAAATCTTTTCATCAGTATTCCAAACCCTAACAGCCCCTCTTCCTCTCTCTCTCAAACACTAATCATAATTTGTGAGATTTGGGAGAATTCTTGAGGCGTTTGTCGAGAGGATGGCAGGATTTTGCGACTTTGGTGAAGAGGGATCTTGCACGCACGTGTTCAGGAATTCAACACGACAAGGCAAGATCATCTTACTCCAAACCTTTCCCTGTAGTTAATTCAAAATTTAATATGTTTAATTGATGAATCTCATGTTTAAGCTTAACTCGATGTTTTAAAATCTTAGTTTATGATGTTAATGTTTAAACCAATGTGAAAATCTATAGTTTTAGTTGATGTCTATATTAGTTTGATGATCATGATCATTAGGGTTGTATTTAATTTCGTTTTTAACTTGTTAATCATGTTTAAATCATGTTTAAACCCTAGTTTTATAATTATTTGAGTTTTTTTGCTAATTAAAAAGATCTAAACCCTAGGTTGATGATACCTAAGTGATGTGAGCATGTTTAAACGAATTTATCTCTGTTCAATGTTTAGAATTTATCATGTTTCCTTAACCATATTTATAAATTAGGTTATTTAAGAAATTTTGATTAATTAGGATGTTTAACCCTAATTAGTTTATTTCAAGTGGTTATATCATGATGAGTTAAATCCTGTTAAGTAATTATGAAAGATTTAATCTTGGTAATATGCCTCATGTTGATAAAAATAAATTTTTAAATAAAGTACAAAATACAAAACATCAGAAACCTGAACTTATGTTTTCCTCTTGTCTGTCGAACAAGACTAGCCAGTCGACCGGTGAGGCCCTGAGCGTGCACATTATGTGCATGGTTGCTTTTGGTCGACCAACGCCCTAAGGGCGGTCGACCCACATGTGTTCTCTTTTGTTTGAAGTGTTATTTTTTACACCTTTTGTTTTCAAACGTGGGGTTCGAAGCGCACGATGATACACATACAATCATAAGTATAAACATATAGTGTCGTAGCACACACATGAGTATCCCGAAGAGGAGTAATATAGTTATTGTTTCAATTACACAAGAGATATGAATTATTTAAACATTATATACTTGTATAGATATCGTTGATGAGCACCGCTCAGTACTACTTGGGATAGTGCGTCGATATATTATTAGTACAGTCCATTGAGTCGGGTTTTAGGATGCTTGATCTAGTAGTCCGTCTCGCACGTAGATGCGATGAGGCTTGTGAGCCATATACCTAGGATGCTTGATTTGGTAGTTCGTCCCGCACGTTGATGCAATGAAACTAATGAGCCGTGTACACTTTTAGGATGCCGATTTGGTAATCCGTCCCGCATGATAATGCGATGAATTATAAACTTTTCTAGGATTTGCATTGTGATAATTATTTGACAGCTTGAGTCTTGATGGACACCATTTATGAACATGACTCATCGCTGAGTTACATATGACCGAGGTACTTTACTCTTATAAGTACGCGGGATTATATACAGTTGTTTACATTATCTTCCAAATGATAGTGGAAGATATTTTTGATCCGATATTGTGATGATTTTACTTTCTTATATTGTTATCCTTTATTCTTAGTTGGGATTGATGATTAGCGATTCACAATTTGAGACATATGGTATATACATGAGAGTTTCCTTATTTAGATTATTTCGCTCAACGTATCAGTCTCGTGTTGTGAGATTCTAATTATTGATTCTATTTAGATTGTTTATTCTTAGTCCGGTATTAATATTTAGTTATCTACAATTTGAGACATATGATATATACATGAGGGCTTTCTTGTTTAAATTATTTCGCTTGACGTACTACATCTTGTGTTGTAGGTTTCTAAATATTAATTCTATTTAGATACATGATAAATGATCTAGGCAGACTATGCTTAATAGATAGAGCCTCCATCATATCTAATAGCTCTTCCCTTGAGGACGGATGGAGATGATCTTGCTGTAGCGCTCTGACGCTCTTATTTTCTCTTTTTATTTTTTAATTCCTTTCAGACAGCAGCTCAGAGTTCCGGAGAGCCGCAGGATGACGGACTTCCAGCATAATCGTCGTCACATATTTTTAGTAGACGAGCCTCCACCATAGTTGATATTTATCTCTAATATTTAGAGTTTTGTATTTCATCTTGTAAAGGTTGTGTGCCTTAGTTTATTTTCAGTTGACTCATATTGAGTTTGTATTTCATCTTGTAAAGGTTGTGTGCCTTAGTTTATTTTCAGTTGACTCATATTGAGATACTTCACATTTATTTCAAGGTTGTGTGCCTTAGTTTATTTTCAGTTGACTCATATTGAGATACTTCACATTTATTTCAGACTTCACTTGTATTCAGTTTATTCAGTTGAGACATAATTATATATATTAGTCTATTAGATATCTCTTTCTACATCATGTCTATTGTATTTATTTTCCTTATTTTGTCTGTTTTGTACCTGTACTTTTATTTGATTTCACTAGAGAGATATTACTGTTACATGTACTTGTATTTGATTCCACTAGAGAGATATTATTATGATGGTGAAACGTGTTGTTGCACAGTGTGGGTGAATGGCAGGTTTGACATATCTGGATTCACCTTATACTGCAGCCATGTGTGAAAACAGGGGTGTCGCATTAAGATTCGGGAATATGCTTACGCCCAAGGGTGCTTTCAAACATGCACCCCCATACCCCCACCCCCCAAAAAAAACTTTGACTAGTCAAAATTGAAAATTATAAATCTTCCATCCACAAATATCACTTTATATTTTAAAATGGCAATATAATCCTTAGGTCACTAGTCACTACAAAGAAAAGGAGAGAGGTTGTTTTCACTCCAAAACCCTAAATTACAAATTTCTGGTGTCCATCTCAATCTTCCTAATTATACATCAACTGACACCTAGTTCATACACCACCAATTAATAAACATAATCATTTCTCTAGTTATTGGCTGCGGAACATGAAATAAACCGAATGGAGGGAAAGTATTAATTAACAATTCAACATTTGCCACATCTACTCTTCTATACTTATAGGAGTATCCAAAGAATAACCGTTTATACTACAGTGAATGCTACAGTTAATTACTGTAGTATAAATAGTAAATCTGACCTGGCTCTCCACTCGGAGTCACTACTCATGCTACAATAACTTACTGTAGCATAACGGTAAATCAGATCTAAGCCTCTATACTTGAAGCTACTATTTATTCTAAAGTAGTTTACTGTTTTATAAACAGTAAAAAATAAATGTATTGAAACATGGATTCTCCTTCAAACATAAGAGGAGTAAATATGATTTATAAATCAAATGTATTAAAACTTAGATCATTCTTTAAGTATATAGGAGTAAATATATTAATATTTAAACGTACAACAATTAAATCAAATATATTAATATTTAGAGAAAGGCAAGTTCAAAATGTGGTGCTAAAAAAACAGGGGCCGTGCTTTGCACGGGGTGCACACTAGTCTCTTTATAATAGCGAAATACAGAAAGCATATTCAAAACTCAATCTAATAAATAAACAACAGATTACTAATAGAACAGTTCTCGAAGGGAGTAAAAGACGTACTGTCAGGAGAAGATTGCTGCTTGGAAGCATGGCGCCATGGGTCTTGTGAACCATTAGTGAAGATTATCCTGGAACCTGAATATTCAAATGGATGTTTTAAAAGGAGAAGAAAACTCAGGATTAAATTGTAAATGGTCTTCCATACCATACGTCTAAATGTAGAATATCCACAGATTTGAGGAAAACTTTAAATTTATAAACAAATGTGTGTGACCATAAGCGCTGGATATCCAGATCTAGGAGACTATATCAGTTAGTAAAGGAATGTTCAGCATGACACTAACAGCATAGTGAGAGAAAAAATTTAAATTGAATTTCCTAAAAGGATATTTCTTTTCAGGCAGAATGAGATAAGTACAGAACTAAATTTTGTTCCATAAAAGCAATCATCTAGGAATGGGATACAACCACTTTTATCCAGGACCAAAAATCAAACAGTGAAAGAAACAACTGAGCCTACTCTCAAATAAAGAGAGAAGCCTGAGGAAAAATTGATTTTATCTTACGAATTGAATTTGGAGAAATGAAAAGGTTAAAGTATGAAAAGAAAGTATCATGGCAGGATGAACCTTCAAGTAATGATTACAAATAAAGCATATTAATGTCTTGTCCGAATGTTCACATCACAATATTGAACACTCCAATAAAGTAAACAACCATATCAATGTGTATGAATATCACTATGATTTGGTTTTGATCACGAGCTCTGATCATTGTTTGGGCTTATCTATTTACTAGGATTTAAGAGTGGGTCTGACTCTAAACCTCCCTTGTAAATGTGTGTAATAGGAACCGGAGAACCAATGTAGCTACCTAGAAAGGCAATCAAGATTATTTTGTTAATTAAATCATTAATTATCTGGGATTCCCAATCCTGATTAGTTAAAAAAAGTCAAAATTTTAGAACCCACCAAGTTTTGATTGTTGTTGCCGAGTTGAATGAAAATGGGTCGGTTTTGGTAAATAAATTCTAACCTAGTCGATTTTGGTAAATAAATTTCAAAAATAGTTGGTTCTAAAAAAAAATCCTATTTTCTTATGCCATGCCTATATGTATAACATAGGATATCTCATCAATACAAGAAATATGTGGTAACTGAAGTAGAAAGGATATAGAATAATCAATAAATCCAGAAAATGAATAAAAAATGTGCCAACCAGCAATTTGGGTGCCTCCATAGTATATGTTTGTCATAAACACGTTGGGGTACACTCCCTCTCCAAAAACATTTTTACACAGATCCAAATGGTACCTGTAACATATTAAAAGGAAACCATAAAAAACATTAAGGCTTGAAATATCAACAAGATATATCACAAAAAAACAATGACTCAATATTATTGCCTTTGTGCCTCACATTTGCTCAAGTCATCAAAAGTTAAGGAGCAGATGGAATTAAGGTTTAGTATTGAAATAAGTAGAAATATGAGTGATCAATTGTTGGGATCAAATACCTGATAGATTATCCTTTTGGGTCAAAATGACTGTGAAATATTATTAATACCTTGTAGGTACAAGCTCTGCTTGCAACAACAAATTGTTATAAAAGCCCAAAATTAGGACTTGGGCCATTTTTAGCACAGGTTGAACAAATAGGTGTATGTTAGCAGCTCCTTGATGTTTTACTTCAAACCAAGTTAGAACATAACATATATGCAATCCTGAGGGCGCACTACAAAGGTGGTTGCGGATTAGGGCCTGAAGATGAAGCTATTTAGAACAAAGTTATCTTCAATGGTAAAGGGGTTTCAGACATGAGATGAAGAATAAAATTATATCATGAATTGTCAAATACAGAGGTAAAGTAATCTAAGGGAATGATAAGGCATTTAGGGCTCCTTGCATAGAAGCCAAGATGAAGACTGTTGCATTAGCATCCCGCATCCTGTTAAAAATATCCAAATTAGAAAGGTGGATGGAGCTAACGTTTAGTCCCAAATAGGAAATGAGATGGAACAATGAGAGCTTAATGCGATTGAGATCCAAGACCTAATAGTTTACCTTTAAAGCCAATGTAGGTCACAATTTATTATTATACTGGTTGGTACGTTCTCTAATTGCCACAACTATTATGTGCGTGCAACATTCCATCACTATTTGATTGCTGAAACCTGAGCTTCATTCGTACCACAATTATGCTGTAGAATATTTTCCATTTCATATGGTTAAATCAAGTATCGTCTTTCAAATGTCTCGCTGAAACAGATTAAGCAAATCTCATAATAATAAAATAGTTACACGCGCAGCCGCTTACTTGAGTTGGAAACTACTAATCAGTTTAAGTCGGATATGAGGTTGATACCATAACCCTTTTATCAAACAGGGGGCAACTAAAGCCTGCATTGTTGAGCCAGAGATGCTCATCCAGTTTGTCAACTCCTACATTTTTTTTGAGGTCATTATAGATCGCCTTCTGCAAACAACATTGTATGTCCGCGAAATGTTCATTTAAGCCAATTTTTTAAATTTCGTTAATATTTCTTCTAATTATTATCTGCTGGTACATCTATTGCCCCCATTTCCAAGTTGCTATATTTCATTTACAAGCTTATAGCCTCAGCCATTTTACATCCATCAAATCCATGCTGATTTTCCTAGGCATGCTAACCCACCCGCGTTCATTTACATGGTACCGAAGGTATTTGTACAACACGCCGCGTTGGAATAATGTTTTAGCAAAATCATAGCATCAGATTAGCATCTCATAAATGCATCATTCTGAGGTCCCCAACATGTACTATTTGGTATTCATTTTGAACTGTCTATATAAACACACAATAGTGACACGATACATGGTATGTAGCGGGTCCTGGTAAGAATTCAGGTACGCAATTCGCCAGTTAGGAAATTTAGATTTGATGGGAGGTAGCTTGCTTAGGTATGCAAGTTCTATCAGTCGTACGTTGTAAAATATTTTTGGGTGTGCTTACCATTTTTCAAAGTGTATAGTAGAAACTAGAAAACTAATTATGCATTTTAATATTTTTTCATACAAAATACGTAAATACTTGTTTTATATGGAGTTCAGTTTTTGTTTTGTTTTTGTTTTGTTTTTGTTTTTCACATGGTTCATGTTGTGATCATGGTTTCCTTTCACATTTTATTAACATGGATATTTAGTTATAGTAAAACTATTGACTCATATATTCAATTGTGCACCTCCCTTTACTCAATTACACACATTTCATTGCATATTGTGCATGTACACTTAAAGGGACTTCGCACCCAAATACTTGCAAGTGGTATGCCAAATTTGGGGAACCAATTTGTGTATCTGAAAGAATTGGTTCGTAAATGTACCAGGAATACGTTAGTAGGAATTGTACACAAGTCAGTGTTCAGGGAATCGCGCAACTATGAACCACACAAACAAAGGTAACAAGAGACTTCGACTCTTTCAGTTTCAGAAATGCCCCGGAAGCAATCCTTTCCCTTTCGTTTCCAACAATATGCCACGTAAATTAAAACTTCCACTCCATGGAAGTTGATCTACATCAATTAGGTTTCTAAAAGTAAAAAAGATCAAACAATCATGAGTTGTCATACTTGTGTCTCGAGCAGCCAGAAAATAAATGGAGAAGATAGCAAGCGCCTAGGATATTCAAATCCCCATAAAATTGTGAGACAAGGGTTTTAGGGTTTTGGCGTTCAAGTTTATGAAAGGGTTTAGACTGTATACCCCCAAACTATAGAAATATTGACTTCCTACATTCCAAAATTCGTTGATAGACTAGATGAATAAGATTCACAGTGATTTGCTTTTTCAGCTCCTAAGTGCTCTAAACTAACAAGATAAACTTAAAGGAGGGGTGCTTTTTTCAGACTGGGATAAACTTAAAGGAGGGGTGCTTTTTTCAGACTGGGATTCTTGAGGAACACAGGTGATAGAACAGAAGTCAATGATACTCCCGATTGACAATTATCATTGTCAGTCATGAACTCATAGTATTAGATTACAGAATTCTTGTGCAACAAAAGAACAATCCCACAAAAACCATGAAAAATGAAATTCATATAAATGAAATGATACCTCGTATCAATCTTTGAAGAGCGGACACTGTCATTTTTTGGTGCCACTTGGAAATATGCAACCTCAGTGCAAACTTGGAACCACCATAATCGATCACCTTAAATATCAACATATAGCCACAAGATGTTAAAGGCGCGACATGATTGCAAAAATATTTATGTAATGACCTACAACTTGTAATCCAATCTTGTCTATCAAAGGAAATTACTATAAAAAGTTCAAGCAACACATTACCATCCTCTTTACCTACAGATGTGTTCTTCAAGTGCTGCTGGTCATAAGATTGAACAGATACACCAAAGCTTCCAAGATAGTAATTTCTCACATAGTCAGCATATGCTTCCTGCATGAGTATAACAAATCTGGCCTAAGTATAATATCTGAAAAGTGTCTGCACGTGAAAGAAACTAGAATATATCTTTTAAAGTACATAAGATTATGACATAATAATTTATTTACATAGATACAAGACAAACCCTACTTGGAACTTTTTTTGGGCACCTAAACATTTGGATTTAAACATCAGCAAACTCTTTATCCAACTATGGAAGTAGGTCTGCCACATGATTACATTTCATGTGCCAGTATCTTATAAGTTAATATTTTATGTTTTACTATGGTCATAGTTATTGGCTAAGACATCCATCAGTAACTAGGACATAAATTTATGAGCTTTCACACATCGAAAAGATGCAATATGTACATATACACAGAATAGCACCTGAAGTTCGGACAGTGGAACCATATTTTTAGGATCACTAGTACAATCTTAAAGAACATCATGTTAAACATGGGTAATGTTCCTTATAAAGAAGTCATCAATTCAAGGGGCTTGAATCTGGGAAGGTACCATCAGGATTCCAAAGATATTTTGATGGTCTCTGCACCACAAATACCTAGGGTTGTCATACTAGAGAATTTAATAACTGCATATAAAATAAGAATATAAGATGCAATCTTGATACTAACAACAACAGCAACAAAGCCATATCCGACATTTTGGGGTTGGCTACACGAATCATATTCTTCAATTCAGGTATCCGAAAATGCAAGCTTGGCAATCACAGAAAAGATTAATGTTTACAAGAAAGTCTGAATACAAAATACGAGGCTGCATACAAAACAGGAGGGAAACCATGCAGAAACAATGTCATGTTCTGATATAATCCATCAAATATGCAAGAAAAACAAAGAAGCGACAAAGAAGAAAGGTGCCAAATATACATGCTAGGTAATTTCCAAGGAAGCAAAAGAAAAAATATATATGATTATACATTGGTGTGAAAAATGACAAAGATCATGTCAGAGAAGTTATTGGAGCAGGAAAAAATGTACACCGACTATTGACCAGTTTCCAGTGCAGTCTGGAGCCCAGAGAGCATTAGGTTGTTAACTTGCATATGGATTCTGGACACGAGTAAATATCAGTTGATCCGACAGGGACAGTGATTTCAGCCCAAACTAATTATAGGCTTGGCTACAGGTTCAGATTGTTTTGAGTTTCGCTAACATATCAAATGATCATGGGGCCAAACTGAAGTATATAAAAGAATACTTTCAGCCTACAACCAGTGAGGAGTGATCTCCAAAAGGGAGGCACCACAAGGTTGAAGGAGACAGAGAAGGAAAGGGAGTCCCCACAAGATCGAAGGAGCTTCTTACACAGAAATGATAGGCAAGGTTTTTCTTTGGCAGACAAAGGTTATGGGTTTCTCCCTTTATATGAAGCGAAAGGACAAGCTCTTGTACTTTACTATTTTAATAGACTAATAGTGGATCTTGTTTACAAGCCATGCCTATGTTTCTTTACAGCTTGCTACAGTAATATAAAGCATAAAACAGCACTTTCATAAGGAAGCACTAGCTGATGCTTCAAATCACGTGAAGCCGGGGCGATCAAAGCAAAAACAGGTAATTTTCAGGCAAGATTTCGATGTGCAACTTCGAAGGGTCACATTTTTTGGGTCACATTTTTTATCTCGCTTCATAGAATCCTTTATATAATATGTTCTCAGGAAGCTCTAGAAATGATCTACACCTTTAATGGCTTTGCCGTTCCAAATCAGATAGGAAGTCAAAGAATTCGTCCTTAGGCTCAAACTGTGCGCTCAACACTTCTAGTTTTTATTTTTGCGTGTTTGCTCTTCATTTTTCAGGAGGCTAGTTTCGTAATTTTGCAATTGTTTTTACACCCTATATAAGGATTCGGATTTTATGTTTAGAATTGTTGTGATTATTATATTTTTCTGGAGATTTTCTATACCTAGTGTTTTTAGGGTTTCTGTGCCGACTTGCTCGTACAAGAATGAGTTATTTTAAATGCTTCTGCCACATTACACTCACACTTTATATTACTTAAGTTTTCTGGGATCAGCTTCTAGTGGAAAATCCTTGCCCCTTTCTTGATTTGTAGACTACAAAACCTGCATCTCTATTTATCAAGAAGTTTTAAAAACCATGTAAGGAACTTCTGCCTTTCAGGCCTTGCTAACAGGAGTTTTATTTTACCAGGTTCCAGTATATCTTTAGGTAGTAGACTGGACAATAACCTTAGGGTGTGTTTGGGAACTTGGATTTGGGCCTGGATTTAAAATTCAGAGTATTTCAAATCCAAATATCTAATTTGGGTTCTGATTTAAACCTAGATTTTAAATCAACTGATTTTACAAAGAGGAATTTGAAAGCCCAAAACAAGTGATTTCAAATTCCACCCCAACCCTTGTCATTTATCAAATCCCGACCCGATCCTCTCTTTCTTTTCAAGTCGCGATCCCCCTCTCTCTGGTTTCGATCTCTCTCCCCCCCCAACCCCCAAATCTACTTCTGATCAGCATCATGAACGGAGACAGCGAGTTTCCCTTCAAACTGCGTCATCTTGTCACTGAAGAAAGCTCGAGGAGCTGCTGCAAGAGATCAACAAGATCCACAAGAAGCTGCAATCTGGTGAGAGATCAGAGATTTGCTTCATATTTTGTGTTCTGTTTAAAATCAAATTTTGTGCTAGTTTATGTACTTAAAAGTACAAATTTTGCGATCAATTAACCTTGAATTAATGTAATTAATGTTAACGTTGAATTTTAAGCTCGATGGTTGCAAGCAAGTAAAATTACACTATAGAATCAAATAGCTAACTGTAACTCTTTGGTATGTACTTTATCTGCGTTCATAAATCAGCAAACTTCAAAGTTGCCACGTGAGACTAACTATTATCCTTTTAGACGGTCACGACCAGCTAAAGTTAAAGTTCCATTAAAGAGCGATTTTATTCAAGTCAAGGAATATTTTTGGTTTTGTTCTAGATGAAAGAGAATAACTGGACTACCTCAATGTTTGAACGTCCAGTTCCTTTCTCCCACTTATGAGTCATCGCATGAATGCATTAATTTGCACGATGATATACGTAGATCGAATGTTTGTACCATGATACTGACATATATGATTGACCTTAGTCGTGGACAATGCTAGTGAAGTCTAGCAATAAGAGTAAGACTTGTAATTAATACTGATTGAAAATCAAGAAAAGAATGAAATAACTTGAGGACACGGAAATGAAATAACATATGTACTTTATGTACGCAGATTCCAATCAGTTTCGTTAAGGCTCATTTTTGTTAAGGTTCATTGCTGTTTTGTTAAGGCTCATTTCGTTAAGGCTCATTGCTCATTGTTGTTTGTTACTTGAAGTTACAACATATGTTTCGTTAAGGCTCATTGCTGATTTGTCTTGAATTTATGGATGCTCATAAGATTCGTTTTGCATACTTTCGTAGAGTTCAAATTCCATAATCAGTTTTTGGAATAGTGTATGTATACATAATCGATTCGTCTTTGGTGTGGTTGACCACGAGTTGGACTTAGTATTGAGTTTAATGTTTTATTTCTGCATTATTATTTGATACTCTTCAATTGAAAGTTCCATGAATTTTATTATATCAATCTACTATTTGGTTTGAAGTCTTTGCAAGGGCTCTAGTCTATTGATGTCAGGTTGGAAATTAATCATAAAAATGCAGCAGAAGTTTTCAATGCATGAGTAGCAGTCTAAAAATGTTTATTTCATATTAATGGGTCACCAAATGTTGAAAATGTCCATGAGTTGTACTCCAAAGAGATACAGCAGTTCTAATTTATATACTATTTTGTTTTATCTTCAATCTCCAAAGAGATAATCTAATGCATCAGCAATCTGTTAATATATATGAAGCTACAAATTTACTGTTAACTATTCTTGTTTAGCCTTTTTCTGATCCGGTGACTTAAAAACTTACAAAGATTCGACTTCTATTTAGTCATCATATGACTGTATTGGTCAGTTCTTACTGCAATTAATGTATTTTTCTGCGATCATGTGTTTCGTGTTTTAAGCTATTATCATGTGTTATCTGTGATCATGTGTTTCGTGTTTTAAGCTATTATCATGTGTTATCTGTGATCATGTGTTTCGTGTTGTAATTTGGGGTTGAGAAATTCGATCTGGCGGACGAAAACTTTGATCCTCACAGGCATCACGCCTTTTTCCATATACCTAACGCTTCAAAACCCACAAGCACTGTTGCCGCTGTCCTCAAGGTATATTCATTTTAATTGAATTCTAGCTTGTTTCTTAAATAGACCTTTCATTATATTTCAGTGATTGAGTCTCATCAATGTTGTTTTTTATTCAGCCTGGATATATGCTCTATGATCGCGTTCTTCGTCCTGCTGATCGAAGTAAGTTCTTTTGTTGAGTTGAGAAACTTTTATGTGGTTTGATAGTGTAGTTCTTGTTTTTTTTTCTTCCCCCATATTTATTAAGGTGTAAAAAAGGTAATGTTATGTTTACTAGTATTGAAGCACACCTCGTTTCATGTTGATAATATAAGAAATTAGTGACTGTAGGATGTTGCGATGGCGGAATGCGGATGGTTGATTTTGATAGCAAGTACTACTAGCGTTTAGCTTACATGCCGATGGTTGAGGGTAACTTGATGCTTCCATTTCTGTTATCTTGATTGAATGGGAGGTTTACGGCACCTTGATAAAGCTTGAACTAGTTTTTGCTCCTCCTCAATGTCATGTCCTTTGGAGATTGTTTTTGTTCGAGACACGTACGGTCATATATGAAGTGTTTTATCTGTTTGCTGGGGCCTTGCAAAGTATCATGTTTGGGTTGTTGTTTCTACAATGAACTGCAATTGAGTAGTTAAGAGGCTGTGGGATTAGCTGACAGCTGCTTGTGAGACTAAAATTTTCATTTGTTCCTATTTCAAATTATTGACCTGCTCATTTTCTTTGTAGGTTTTGGGCTCATATCGTGATGGCATATGAATTACTCTTTTGTTGTTGCGGATAGGGTTTATCATACAAGCACTTCTGAATCCTCAGCTGCAATTTCTTTACATCAAGGATACTTCTCTTCTCACATGTTATTCAGTTTGTAACTATTTGTATTTTTTTCTTATTAACATTTCTCTTGGTATATTAAAGACCAAATTGACTATGTAATTGTCAGTTGTACCTGCATTTGAGAAGATAATGGAATTGTTACTTATTTGCTCTGATATCAACTTATTCTCACTTTAAATATGTATGAAATATGAAACAAGCCTCAAGTGTTTTCCAGCCTGGATATCTGTGAAATATGCAATGGTAATGTATTATTTAGATTTTTTTTTGTAAGATACTTGATATGTTTGTAGAGTTTTCTTCATTTTCATTTTGTTGAAACTCTTGCAAGTTATGGTGGGCAATGAATTTGAAAACTTAGCAAAATGTAGCTACCATCGTCAAAATTACCTAAATTTGTGTTTTTTGGTTACTATTTTACACATCTCTATTGCATTTGATGTAAACAAGATGGGTTAAGAGAATAAATTTTTATCAATTTTAAATTCAAATTCATGTATAACAAAGTACCCAAACACTAGATTTTGAAATCAAAGATTTCAAATCCTTTCATTTAATAAAGATATCCAAACAAAAGATTTCTTAAATCATGGATTTCAAATCCTAAATTTAAAATCCCTCGATTTTAAATCAACTTCCCAAATCCAAATCAAAGTTCCCAAACGCAGCCTTAGAGAAGAAACTTAATCCATGCAAAATGTGAATTTCTAAAGATTTTGGTTTTCAGCACTTGAAATAAATGTATTTCCTGGTGTGAAGAAGTCAAAAGCGACGAAACCAACCCCCCCAACCCAACCCAAAAAAAAACCCACCCCACCCCAACCCCGTGAGAACCTTTGCACTTGGGTTTGGTACGATGAACTGTTGGCAACCCACTGGCTGAATTCCTGTTTGTGCCTAAAGCTAAATACTCGTCTAAATGCAGATAAAAAAAAGGATGAATATACTTAGGGAATCCTGTTGATATGCAGAGAACTAAGTTGCGGTAAGAATTGCTCAAACTTAGCTGAACAAGATGAGAAAGTAGCTTACCACTAGGTCCTGGCCGGTCTTCTTGGCATCAACAAGTGGGGAGCACAGAACATCCGGATGTCCATACTGAAACTGCGCTTAGAAACAACAAAACATCAAGCTTCTACAAGCTTGGCAGACTTTATTGACATGTAGAAAAATTAAACATACCGCTTCAGCTGCAGCATCAGCCAGCAAGTATAAGAAGTCCGCATCATTCTCAAGCTGCAATGAAGAAAAAGAACATAATGCCATAATCTATTAAGTGTGAAAGAACATAATGCCATAATCTATTTAGTGTGAAAGAACATAATGCCATAATCTATTTAGTGTTTACAGTAATATCATCATACTAAATGATTATTCTCATTCTAGAGATAGAATCATCGCAATAACGGCAAAAAAATAAAAATAGAAAAAGTTACAGAGTTTGTATTCTGAATTAAAAATATTCATGCCCAAAAGAAAAATAACGCATTGAAGGTACATATAGTTCTGTCAGAACTCTTAAGGTCAACCTATGCAACATCCTCATCCAAATACATGGATGAGGATGTTGCAAAGTTACGCCAGCAAAAAGGACTATGAAGATTTGAAAATTATGAGAATAAGACTTTGAAGGAACATATGCGGCCATGGGAACTCCATATGTCAATCTGTGCAACATCCTCATCCAAATATCTCAGAACAAACAAGCTGTAGATAGCCATATCAAATTATCTTTGCAAGGAAAAAATCTACAACTTCAGGAATAACTAGGGTAGAGAGAACTATTGAAGTTCGAGAACACATAAAATTAGATTAAGACAAGTATTTAACTGAGCAGAACATTTCACATATTATGTTGAATAAAAGTCAAGAAGAAAGATAGAATAAGTTGATTGATGGCTCTATCCACCAACTTTTTATCCATTAAATTTGCTTTGAGATTCGTGTTGGCATGTGTTGTGCCTTGATTTGTATCAACCATTCTGACACGAATCTCAAAGCAAATCTAATGGATAAAAAAGTTGGGGAACAAAAGCTTCTATCAACTTAAGTTTACAAGAGCTTTACTCTAAAAGTCAAATAAAACTAATATAATAACAAATAGGATATCAAGTTTTGTACTAATTTCGGATTGGTTAGAAACAACTAAGAAGGATATGATAACTTAATAGAGGACCTAGCCCATAATAGAAATGTATGGGAGATTAGGATTCATGTAGCCGACCCCAAAAGTTTGGGATACGGCTTTGTTATTGTTTGTAATGTATTATGAAATAATGTGTTTAACCAAATTATAATAATACTATTAATATATATATATATATTATTGAAGAAAAAGTGAAACAGATTGAAGAAATTATTCAGAAGAATAATACTATTCTCGAAAACACTATGACTCAAGAAATTCAAAAAAAATCTTATGCTGAAAATAGCAAAAATGATAAAAAGGAAATATACACAAGCTTCAGATTCAAAAATACCAGAAATACAACAGAAATGTTTAGAACATTTGAAAAAACAATTCTTTGAAGCTTTTGATACAAGTGATACTAAAAGCATCAGCTCTACTAGAGAAGATATAACTCTTCAAGATGCACAAGATCCAGAAGAAGATATTGATACAATGTGGGATGCTGCAATGGGAGTCTTAAATGACATTAATTCCTCTAATATTAAAGAAAAAGGAATTGCTTAAAGATAATTTTGAGTTGAACCTCGAGGAGCCGCTCAAAAGTCACTTTCAAAAAGATACTTTTAAAAACAGCTTTCCAAAAAGAGATTCCTCAACTTTTATAAAGAAGATACTGTGTACTTTTATAAAGTAACTTTTCAAAAAGGAAGATGCAACGTCTCGAAAATTTTCGATGTTTCTGAAGAATCTTTGAAAGGTTATAAATATATATAATGTAAGATCTCAATTTAGCCAAATAATTTTGAGCCTAACATGACTCTGATACCAAAACAAAACCAGGATTCAAAAATATAAATACTTACAATTTTAAGTGCCCGAGCCGTATAATAACTTCTTCTTTATTGATCTCCACAATATTTTACAAAGTACACACTTATTTTACAGAGTACGCACACTTATCTTACAAGCTTTCTCTAGGTTTTTTTCTAAGGCTTCTCTTATTTTTTCTTCCTCTTCTGAACTCTACCCTTTCTTCTCTACCTTCACATATTTATAACATTCCAAATATTCTTCAGAAACGTTGAAAATTTTCGAGACGTAGCATCTTCCTTTTTGAAAAGTTACTTTATAAAAGTACATAGTATCTTCTTTATAAAAGTGGAGGAATCTCTTTTTGAAAAGCTGCTTTTTATAAAGCTGCTTTTAAAAGTATCGTTTTAAAAGTGCTTTTAAGCGGCTCCCCGAGGCTCAACTCAAAATTATCTTTAAGCAATTCTTTTTTCTTTAAGGGGCTGTTTGGTTGGTTTCCTAAAAATCAAGAAAAGTACAACGGTACATGAAAATCAATAAAATATTATGACTCCTAGCATTATTCTTTTTAGCACTGATGCCCTTATAAAAGGCTTAAGAGGGGCTACTAGCATTATTCTTTTTAGCAATTATTCTCCATGAATTTGGTTACATAGGAGTATGACTCCTTTCTGATATATTAGTACCTCTCCCTCTCCCTAAAAAGGAGGGACTACTCCGTCTCATGGGAACCCTGTAAAAAATTCAACTCTTTGTTCTAATTTTAATTTTTTATAATATTCTTCTTTCTAGTTTATCTGTTCTTTTTTTGAAAATGTTTTAAAAAACCATGTTCTAAAATTTTTATGTTTTTCTTGCTGAAATTCCTGATTCAGAAATTTCCTTATTATACTATTTTTTTCAAAATTCATTATTTCATTCTAAAACTTATTTCTGAATTTGAGGGAGAATTTCTCTCTTTATATAATGCATGTGGAATATTATTATCTGAAATATTTAATCCTTTTACTTCACTGGTTCGGTGCTATAAGATCCTGATCTAGAAATAGAATTTCTAGAAGAACTAGCTACATCAGATAATCTGATTGTTATAGAGGGATTAAATGTAATTCAACTTCTTTGTCTACTGTTTGAATAATTTGTACAACATCTTGATTAACTATTGGTAAATGCTGTATAGCATTGGGTATTACCCAATTATCTGAGAAGTTAATTTCATCCTATTTAATTTGTCTATTGACAGCAATATTAGAAGATAAAATATTTGTTTCAACCGGAACACTTTTCCTGGTTTTGAATGGACCTTAGCTTTAGGGGCTAAGGTATTTAATATTTTATAATGTATTCTATAAATTATTGTAATAGTTTTTTATCCTGATATAAAATTATATCCATGTGTTTTGATGGGCTTATTGCCTCTAAAATATTTGGATCGGTTAATGATAAACTTAAATTTGGATAAACATTAAAATATACTGGTAGTTTCCATAATACTCATTAATGATTGGGTCCAATTTAAGCATCTAGCATCTCTTAAACATACTAATAAAGTTGCATTTAATCCTTGTAATGTCAAGGGTCTGAAAGCTATTTGTATTAATCCGATATGAATGTATTTATACTTGTCCATATAAGGTTCAATATCAATTGGTCCAAGTAATTGGATAGTTTGTTCTTCCCTATCAACTGTAGTAGTTCTTTCTAGGGTTTTAATATTAATTAATGACTTATAATCAAAAAAATCCAATTTTATGTCTCTATTAGGGACATCAGGGATTGTCCATTTATTTAATGCTTCTAACTCAGAAGGATATTCAGTCAATTGTGCATTTTTAACTTTTTTACCAGTATAACTGGTCTTTCTTACAGAAGAACTTTCTACTATGTCTGGCATAAATTTTTTACTTACAGTTTTATTTATTCGAAAATTTATTAATAAGGATGTAATCTTGCTATTTTTCTTTCTTTTTTGTTAAAACAAAACTTAATTAAGTAGTTTGCACGTTTATCAATGTCTTACACTACCTGTACCCGCCATCTCGGCTATCTAAGGGATTTACACTGCGTGACTTTGGTGACGTCCCACAAACACTAAATTAAGCATTGTAAGTAAAGCAAAGAAACAACATATAACAAGATTACATACTTATTAACAAACTTTTAAATAAATAAACTGTAAGATCTCAATTTAGCCAAATAATTTTGAGCCAAACATGGCTCTGATACCAAAACAAAAGCAGGATTCAAAAATATAAATACTTACAATTTTAAGTGCCCAAGTTGTATAATAACTTCTTCTTCTTTTTAACCTTTCTATCTGTACTGTGTGTTTATTATATATAGTGTATATTTAATGGTAGGCATAAAGTCATTGTAATGTTATATAGTATATATATATATATATATTATGATTTTATACTTGTTTATTTTTATATATATATTATACTATATATATTATAGGGAGAGGGTTCTAATTAAAAACCTCCTTGCTAAAAACTAAAAACTTCTTCATCCATCTGCGATCTTATATGGAATCCAATGGGCTCGGGATTCAGGTCAAACCAATCAAGCAGGACACATGGCATGTTAATTACCTCAACGTAGTGAAGTCGAGATTCAGCGTACCTCAGTGAAGTCCAGATTCATTGCAGTGAATCCAGATTCACTGCAGTGAATCCAGATTCACTTCAGTGAATCCAGATTCACTGCAGTGAATCAGATTACACTGTTTTCATATAGATTTATATGCATGGTGTTTAATGAGATATTAATGCATGTTGTCTGTTGACTGTTGTTGGACTGAATCCTATAACCACTTGGGATAGAAGGAGGTTTTTAGTTTTCAGGCTAAGGGAAGGTTTTTATTATGAACCTCTCCCTTGTGGTTATATATATAGGTATATATTATTATTATATTTTATACTATATATATATCTGCTATAGTTTATGAGTATGTATGATATAGTCATCATAGGTAAAAGCTTATGTCAACTTAAAGGTGGATAGGACTATGAGTCATCCACCAAATTGTGTTTCTTTATCCGATTGATATTGCAGTTGGGGATCTTGGATGATAGATATAAGAATCTTTTTAAGATTTTGTATCATCTTCTTGATAGCACATATTCTTGAGACAAGATGAGTGGATAAAAGTTTGGGTTGGACATGCTCATATCCACTATTAAGGTGGATAGGAGTTTATTGTTTACTTATCATATATAGTATTATTTATTATATTTTATAGCTATGTATTTATAGTATATTATGTATTATTCATATTTATTATAACATTGCTACTCTCTTTTGGTTTTGTGGAAGTGTTTGGGTGTTAAAAAAATTAAATTATCTAATCCGGTTAAAGCAGAATTACATAAGTTAAGACCATACATGAAATATTTTTTAACCAACACCCATGTGTAAATATTACAATTGGTATCGAGATTCAAGATATGTGTGAGATTCTCTTTGATTTTTATGCAAACAATATCTATTTAAATAATAATAGTATAAATTAAACTTTGTGATCTAATAAAACATACAATATAAGTAATTGCTTTAAAATAATCTAATCTAATTTAATACGAAGAAAATAGATAAAAATGATGTGAAAATTGTTGCAATTTCATAATTCATAATTTTTAAAAATATAATCTAATCTAATCTAATAAGAAGAAAATAACAAAATCACATATATGTTGAAGGAGATAAAAGTGCTATGAAAATTATTGTAATTTCTAATCTGAAAAAATCAAACATACAATATAATTAATTGCTTTAAAGTAATCTTATCTAATCTAATATAATAAGAAGAAAATGGATGAAAGTGCTGTAAATTTTTTTGATATTTCTTGATATGAAAAAAAAAATCAAATATACAATATAATTAATTGCTTTAAAATTATCTAATCTAATCTAATAAGAAGATGTGACACATCACTACCAAGCACAAAATTTGTGCTTGGTACCAAGCATACCCATTTTTCTCTTTAATGGGATGGGTGTACTTAAAAGTAGGCATAAAGTATTGTAATGTTAAGCTGAGAAGCGCAAATATTGTATTGTGACACAGACACATGCAAAATCCTTTCCCAAAATATCCGGCACACATAAACCCCAACAGAGTTAGCATAAAGCAAAGTTATGCAAGCTAAAAAAGATTCAAAAGATTTCATGTCCGCATTTCAAAACCTTGTGTTGATTAAAGATACATAACAAGAAATCCTTAAACATATGATAGAAAATACAAATTACCTAAAAATCTGAGGGTATTATAAGCTCCTAGGTATTAATCATATTTTCAGAATTCTTCTTTGATTACTTGATTGAAAGCACAAAAGGAAACATAAGAGATAAGACAAAAGAACATTAATTTGAATAAAATTAGATACTTTTTAATGGAAATGAATGATACCGTAGCTGCACCAAACAAATCTTTCACTGCTTTTCTATCAGACAGAAGTCGCTCCTCAACAAGTGCAGTTATTTCCTGAAGCACCGGTTTACATTCAGCGCCAGCGGACTCCCCAACCTGCAGCAAAAAGATACTCAAAATTTTTATTCTATAAAAAGAGCATTGGGAAAAGAATGACTTGTTTGGCATATTAAAAAGTGTAGAGAAATCACAACTTAAGGAGTGGGTGCTAAAAATAGAATAAAGGTGAAAGGACAGATCTGTTACATATTTGGACATAAAATTGATGTATACATGAAACTAGCATAAGTATGGCACCTGCTTGTCAAATTCGGTGAAGTTGTAAACAGCAAGAACAACTGCAGAGCTTGCAAGACTCCCACATGTCAAATGAGGGAATTTCAATCGGAACCAAGCACTGAGTGCTCCAGAGTAGGAAATTCCAAAAACAAACCAGGGATTTTCAACTTTTGACCTATTGTATTTTGCATTCAAGAATTCCTGCAGAAAATTTAACAAAAGTAATAAATAGGATAGGTGGAATTAATAGGCAAAGTTCAGGAGGTAGAGATATCATAGAAGCACAAAAGTATTAAAGAACAAAGCATGACAAATCAAAACTTAATAAATCAAACTCATATTTTTCATGACTAACTATGAATTCTAGCACAAATGTTACTAACCAAAATCACTGTTTTAAAAAGCCTCTGTCTAGTCTGTCTAGGCGTACGCCTAGGCCTAGGCGGTACCTAGGTCCTATGAAACACGGACACAGACACGGCGACACGGACACGACACGGACACAGCAAAACCCAAAAAAATAGGACACGGCGACACGGCTAGATTTTTTTAATATTATTATTATATATAGATCAATATTGAATTAAATTCCTATTACATTTCCATATTTTTTGTTATGTAAAGTGAGGATTATAAATAAGAAACTAATGGAAAGTGTGTCTGTGTGTGTTGCAGGTGTGAATTAAGATGTCGGGATGACAATGATCTCTTGGAGAATTAAAGACAATAATGTTAAAGAAGACAAGAAAGAAAAGATGAACATATAGAAAAATAGATCAATTTAGTTACTGTTTTGTAACTAAAATCAAGTTTAATAGTAAATTAAGAAATGAAACCCTAATTAATACCTAACACTAACAGTGACTAAAGATTAATAATAATAAAACAGTAATTAAAAACAAATCTAATAGTAAATTAAGAAATAAAATCCTAATTAACACCCAACAGTAGAGAAAATCACAGCCATTAACAATCCTAATTAACACCCAACAGTAAGCAAAATCATAGCTATTGACAAAACTAATTAGCATGCAACAGTAAAACAGTAGCTAAAAATTACTATCCTAAGCTACAATCAACAGTAAAACAGCAAGCAAAAATCAATAATTTAAAACAGTAAATTATGTGGTGGGGGGCAGTGTGGCTTTGAAATTCGTTGGGGTTCTGTGTGATTTTTGAGAGAGAGAGAGCACAGTAAGTTGTCTACCTTGGATGATCGACGACGACGAAGCTGACGGGGATGATCGACGATGACGAAGCTGACGAGGATGATCGACGACGACGAGGACGAGAGAGAGAGCTGGCGGCTGTTCTTTGCAAGAGCCCTTTCGACGACGAGAATTATTCGGGTAAGTTTGGGTTTGAGATCTGACGAGTGACGGTTAGGGTTAGGGTTTCAAGTTTGAGTTTGGGTTTCAGATCTTATTTTTGGGATTCATTCTCAGCCGTGTCGGGAGAGAAATCGCGCGTCCGGCCCGTGTCTGCGGCGAGTCGAAGTGTTGACTCGTGTCGGGTCGAACGCGTGTCGAACGCGTGTACGCGTCCGACGCGCGTTGGAGACGGACTCACCAGCGGTTTTGAAGAGTCGGTACTTCATAGCCTAGGCCGTCTAACTAACGCCTAGCGCCTAGACAGTACATGGGCTACCCACCTAGGTTTTGAGAGTGTTTAGGGGAGTATTGTCTGCTTACGTGGACTACACCTTTTAGGCCTTGATTGTGATTTTCTATGTTGTATTCTTCACGTCCTCCAACCTCCTTAAAACTCCTTTAACCTCTAAATATAAACACCATCACTACCTTCTCCGACCTTTAGCAAAAACCTCCTTAACCACCCTTTAATTAAAAAAATCCGCCTAGACACCAGTCTGCCACCTATACTTTCTATAACATTGATATTTACTATCAATTATTGTAATTAAAAATAAAAAAACTACTAGGCTCTAAGCGTCGGGTCCAACGTCTAGGCCTCCTAGCGCTTTCTATAACCTTGTTAGTTATTATTTTGGTTATTTAGTATATAAGTATGTGGATCTAAGATTGCTATCTTTTTTTACAAATTTATATGAATTTAATATGTATTTTTATTTAATATTATAATTAAATAATTTTAAAAATAGCCAAACGCATAGGCCTTGCCTAGGCATACGCCTAGGAATCTAGGCGATAGGCGTTGGCTCCGCCTAGTGCCTTCTATAACATTGACTAAAATGATAGATGATCACCACAATTAGCCCGACATTATAATTGTTGAAATTTATTATCAAAAAACCAGAGAGTCTATCCAGAGCTCTATTGATCTCTTATATTTATACTAAGAGCAAATAAACACATATTATGTATTATTAGGAATATGCTAAATATATTCTTAGCATGTTCCTTTATTCTCTCAATCATATTCATAATATATGTCAGCAATATATTCCTAATATATTATTCCTAATATAACTATAACATCATAGATCTCCATAATATATTCATTAACACTCCCCCTCAAGCTGGAGCATGTATAATATATATGTCCAACTTGTTACAAACAAGATGTACTTACTCCAATTTGTGACACTACTTAAAAGGCTAAAATCTTGTATGTGCTCTTTCTCATCGAAGTTGTCTTCATCTTCTAGTCTTCTACTTGAATGTCTTCCACCAAGAACAGCCTCAACCAAAACCACCAAATGTGATATCTCGATCTTCTTCACAGATCGACCAAACAAAACGCTTCTCTCTAAGGAACTACCAAGCAAACGATCCTCTCTAGGGATCCACCAAACAAATGATCCTCTCAAGAATTGATCAAACAAATGATCCTCCTCGGACTAACGAATGATCATTCTTTAAGGATCTGCCAGACATCCGGTCCTCTTAAGGATCTAACAAATAAATAATCATTCGTGTGGATCCACCAAACAAGCGGTCATCTTCACAGATCAACCAAACGAACGATCCTCTTTAGGGATAAACCAAACAAACGATCCTCTTCACGAATCAACCAAACAAACGATTCTCTTTACGGATCAACCATACAAACTCTTTATTGGTGGTCAAGGTTTCTAGAATACAAGCAGTGATGGCGGTGGCGTGTACAAGTTGAGTAGGCAGTGAACGAAGAAAAATTGAGGCGACACAGGCGGTGACGAGAACATATACATTGAGAATGACTACTGCTATCGATAATGACAATCCTGATCATCAACAAGATCATCGAAAATAGGACAGACAAGAAGGGAGGTTGCAAGGCAAGAGGAGTTTAATGGTGAGACTGTGAGAGATTGGGGGCTAGGGTTTGTGAGGATCTTGGATTTTGTGAAGGCTAGGGTTTGCGAGGCTCTGATATTATGTTAAAATTTATTATTAGAAAATAATAGACTCTATTTAGAGCTCTGTTGATCTCTTATATTTATCCTAAGAGCAAATAAACACATGTTACATATTATTAGGAAAATGCTAAACATGTTCTTTTATTCTCTCAATTAGGGCAAAGCATGGTTCGGTCCAAACCGAAAAAACCGACCGAACCGATCGAAATTTAACGGTTCGGTTCGGTTTTAGTTATAAGTCGGTTCGGGTCGGGTTGAAAAAATTTCAACCCGAACAACCCGAACCGACCGCTTATATCCCTTACTATTATTTCGTAAGTTCGTAATCTATACGTTCATACTCATTCTTCATTTACCCGACCCGTTCTTCATTTATATAAACCCCAGCTCCTCTCCATCCTAAACCTAAATCTCCAACCTCAATCTCCAGCCGCCGCCTCGACGAGCCCTGCATCGCCACGTTCGAGACCAAGATCCACTACAACTCCTCTGTCTCTGGCACCATCAGCTACGGCCAAATCACCTCCCTCCGCGGCGTTTCCACCCAGGAGCTCTTTCTCTGGTTCCCCGTCCACGAGATCCGCGTCGACGTCCCCAGATCCGACCCGTTAGTAAAAAGTCAGGTGCGGGTAAAAGGTGCAGCTAAATAGGGTTTGAGAATGAAGGGTTTGAGAAGGGGTCAGGGTATCAAGCGGAGGACGTCCCCAGATCCGGCATCGTATGGACTCGTGGTCACTGATGCTATTGAATCGGACCAGCCGATTATTTATGTGAATGAAGGGTTTGAGAAGAGGTCGGGGTATCAAGCTGAGGAGGTCCTTGGAAGGAATTGGTAAGCTTTTTTTTTTTGCCCCTTCTTTTTTTGGTGAATTACAGAATAGGGTTCTTGCTTAGTTCCATAACTTTTTTAGGGTTATTTTGATAACTAGTTACACCAAAGTTTTCAAATTGACAGCTAATTAAATGATTTCTGAAGCTAAAGTTCAGCATGTAGAACTGAATTATGGATAATAGTTGATGTCAATGTACACTTCTTCTCATTGAGAATGAATTTGTTTGTTGGATGAAGTTAGAACAGAACAAACCGAACCGAACCGCACCGAACCGACTTGCAACAGTTCGGTTTGGTTTTGAATAATGGGCGGTTCGGTTTCGGTTGTTCAAAATTTGACAAAAACCGACCGAACCGACGGATTGCTCACCCCTACTCTCAATCACATCCCTAATATCTCTCGACTGCATATTCCTAATATATTATTCCTAATATAACTATAATATCTTATATCTCCATAATATATTCATTAACAATAATAAACTTTGTTACTTCAACAACGCAGCTAGTGATCAAATACATAAAGAGAAATAAAAAAAATTAATGATAGATAAAGCTTATAATAGGGCAAATTGAAAAGTGATGTTAGGAGTTACTATTCTAGTATACGTACTTGAAACTCAACCGACTGACTATAGCAAAAATACCATTAGGGGTAGAAAGGAACCAAACAGTTAACAAATAGTTTGTTTATTATTTCTCTTAGTATTTGGTTAAATTCGATTTGATAGTTCATTTAATAATAAACAATTTTTATTATTATTTGGTTCATAAGTTAATAGAGCTTAACTAATTGTATATTCAATTCGTTTGATTATTAAATATTTGTTTATGTTTTTCTACTTTTATATTATTATATTATATTATCTTTTATACTTGTATAATACCATAAATAATATTTTTTATTTATAAATATTATATTATTAATTTATAAACATATATATAATAACTCTTATAGTGAAATATCATAATAACAATTAAGTAAATGTTAGAGAAACTATGTAAAAAATATGTCAAACATAGGGTTTGAACTCATGACCTCATGCTTAAAAATCTCGCGACTTACCAAGCGTGCTCATATGATATTCATAAATGTTTAACAAAATATTCGAATAATAAATGAATCAAATTTGAACATTCTTTTCCTACTCAACTAGAATTCAGATTCGAATTCGTCAAAATTAACCGAATTCGAATAATGTAGTATTTGGTTCGAATTCAGTTCATTTCCACCCCTACTTACCATAGCAATCAGATGCCTGTGCGTCTACCAACTCTCTACAACGCAAGTGTATAGCATCACTTAGATTCTAAATCATTCTACTTTGACTTCTCAATTTGGAACAGGACTAAGCTTTTACAACAAAACTTTTGATGGTTGCATTGAGAGACTTTTTGAGGAATGGACTGTTTGATAACTGAAGAGGAAACTCATTAGGATGGGATAAAAGAGAAAGTTCCTTACTTATCTTACTAGTCTTAAGATAACTCATAGGTTACCTATGGATATATTTTTACTCCTTAGGGACAATTAGAGCATTGAGTCTCAAGGAGATCTAAGGCAGGGACAGATCTACTCACAAGGAAGTGGTGTCACGTGACACCACGTGACACCACTTCCTCATGAGTAATATCATTTGGTGCTACTCATGACCATATTAGCAAACAGACCCAAGACAAATGAAAATGCTTTGCTTCACATTTCAACCCCATCAAAGATAAAACAAACATATATGACCCACTTGAGATATATACTAGGTTGATTAGGTGAAGGGTTAAAAGGAGTTTCTCTTTATAATATTAAGAGGGTAGGTGTTCTTTGTGTTTGCTTTTGTTTCAGTATTTTTGCTGAGCATGTTGTGTACTCATCTGATCAATCTAATCATAACAGGTTCCGTATATACCTTACGGATTGAAGTTACTAGAATGCGATTATATATTTGATAGTGTTATTAATGATGCGATTATTTATATATTTTTTTTAAATATGAAAATTTTTACAGTTATCAGAAAAGTTTATTATTAATTCTGTAGTGACACCACTTTCTAGAAATTCTAGATCCACCACTGATCTAAGGGCAGGACCCTTGAGAGAAATATGACAAAGATTAAGAGGGAACATGATTTTGTACCTTGTTTTCTTCACTATCACAGTTTAACCTTTGAGGTTTGTATTCCATAAATGCTGGGATGGTAAAAAAAAAAAAACTGCACATATCATTTGTGAACCCTTGTAGAAAAACTACCAATTCTCACACCCAGTTATGGCAGATTCCGCGATCATATCTTTTTATAGTCTCCAAACCTTGTGCAGAGGCAATAAAAAAACAGAATAAATGACAAAACTGCAGACCACTGTTACAAACTCCAAATAAAAGTGATAAGAAGATTATTAACATGCTTTGCCCCAAAGTCAGCAGCATTCTTGCATCATAGTCATCCGAAACATCTAGCTGAACCACAGGTAAAATCATTATAACCTGACCAAAAACATCATCTAGCTAAACCACAGATAAAATCATTATCACAGTTTTCCCTTCTCTCTTACTCCCCCCCCCCCCCCATCTTTCCTTCCTTTGACCTCTTTTCTTCGGCTTCCGACCAAATTCCTTTCTAGTTAGTAGAAGATACTTTACACCGGATCGCTAGCAACAGATATTTTACTCTACTCAATCCAGCGTAACAGGGAACAGCAAGCGTACCTGATAGTACTGGCGGAAAGCTGCCAGGTCAAAGAGCGCCTGCTTCGAGGATAAAAACCTCAGGTTTTCCGTCGTCAGGGATTCAAAGGGAGAGCTTTCCCCGTAATAGCGATGCTCGAGGGAGACAACAGCGGCGCCGAATTTCTTCGCCAGCACCTGCATCGCGAAGGAAGACGGAAGCATTTTAAGTGTCTCTGCTTGAAAATGGGGGGGAGGAAACGCTCACTTACGGATAGGTAGTCGTTAGCAATCCCGGGGCAGGCGGATTCCCCGCATATCTTCAAGAAGACGGGCCCATCGGGGGCTTGAAAATGATCACGGAATTCGTAGTACCTCTGCCTGAACTGGCGATGATCCTGAGGCAGAATCGATCATTAAGAATAATCATTCAGAGCCAAGGGCTACGGATCTATATACAGAAAGGGGGTTGGGGGAAGAGGGAGGGAGGAGGTTATTAACAGTTGGGGAAAAGTGATCGAGGGTCTGCTTGAACCAGCGCTCGTCCTGGGTGAGGTACTTGCCGCTGCTGTCGGTTTCGGGAGGAAGGCGGAGTCCACCAAACCCGAGGCCGAGCGAGCGCGGGCAGGACAACGATCCCAGTAAGCAAATAACGAGAAGCGGAGGCGGGAAGAAAGAAGCCATCGTCTTCGTACGCCTCCCTCGGGCTCGGGTGCCGTAGGGTTAGGGATTTAGGGCGAGACTTCGGAGAAGAATGACGGTCGGGATTTGAGAATTATCACCCCACCTCAAAGCCTTCTTTTTTTTTTTACTCTCCCACTATTTCCATCTACGGGCTGTTTGGTTACTTTCCTTCACTTTCTATAGATGATTTTCCTTCACTTTCTTGTGTTTCCTTCACTTTCCTGAAAAATGTTTCTTGTGTTTGTTTCGCCCAAAAATATGTAGTGAAAGTACTTTACATCATTTTCTATTGTTTGGTTCAACTTGAAAAAAGAAGAAAATATGTAGTGAAAGTACTTTACATCATTTTCTGGTGTTTGGTTCAAACTAAAAAATTAAGAAAACTTGATTGTGGTCACCATGGTAAGATTACCACCCAACATAATAGTTGTGCTCAGAAAAGGCCATTATTTCATTATCTGCCTCGCCATAAAGTTTATAAAGCAATGTTGGCTGCAATATATTGCCCCGCCAATATATTGTTGCTATAAACTTTGGCTGCATATCTTAAAAATAGCCCATCATCATAACACAAAATATGCAACACAACCAAAGGCCAACCAAGAGCTGAAACCAAGGCTGAGAGCAAGTTGAAACCATGCTTTTAATCACAAATATGGATCCTTCGAACCAACACAACAAAGAGCTGAAACCAAGGCCAAGTGGAACACAAATTCAGACTCAGCAAAAGCCAACACAACAATTTAGCTCCATAGACCAAGCAACTGAAACCAAAGGAAACAGCAAAACCAACACAACCAACATGGAAACAACAAACCAACACACCTGGACATGAATCATCAATATGAATCAACAAACCAACACAACAAATTCAGACTCACAACATGAATCATCAACATTTTAGCTCCATAGACCAAGCAACTGAAACCAAAGGAAACAGCAAAACCAACACAACCAACATGGAAACAACAAACCAACACACCTGGACATGAATCATCAATATGAATCAACAAACCAACACAACAAATTCAGACTCACAACATGAATCATCAACATGGAAACACCTGGACATGAATCATCAAAATTGAAACCAAGGCCGAGAGAACAAATTCAGACTCACCAAAAGCCAACCAAGGCCAACATGGAAACAGCAAACCAACACAACCAACATGGAAACAACAAATCAACACACCTGGACATGAATCTGAAACATGGAAACAGCAAACCAAGGCCAAGTGGAGCACAAATTCAGACTCACCAATATTAATATCATATTCATTAGCAACAAACCAAACAACCAACATGGAAACACCAACCACAGGCAAGGCTGCACAAAGGAAACCAGACCAAGGCTCAAACAAGCTGGAACAAAACTGGTACCAAAATAAACCAGCATGTAATGCACAAATAGTCAGCACAAAGGAAACCAAACCAAGGCTGAACGCAAGGCCAAGCATCAACATGAAACCAAATAACTACAACAAGACCAAAGACCAACAATGGATGGAAACACACTTGGCTGAACGCAAGGCCAAGACCAAGGCAACAAAACAAAACGTTTGCTGGAAATGAATAAGGCAAGCACTCAACTGTACTCAAACACTTAGATAGCTGAAATCAAGGCCGAGAGCAAGGCTGAAACCAGCATGCTGAACATTGGTTGCAAATTTCCAATTACATAACAACCATTTCAATCAATTTCCCAAGCAACACAACTGAACATTTGCTGCAAATTTAGACTGCTTGCCAACACAACACAACTGAAATCACATGGGCCAATATTCAGATAATCAGACTGCTAACCAACAACAATGAAACCACAAAATGGCACACAACTGAAATCACATACAAGCACACAACTGAAACCAAGGCTGAAGCAACAACTGGGAAAGCATAGGACTGAAACCAAAGGACAAGCATCAATTAGCAAGCACACAACTGAAATCACATGAGGGGAAACAACTGAAACCAAGGCTGAACATGTACTGGGCAAGCATAGGACTGAAACCAAAGGACAAGCATCTACCGCAAGCACACAACTGAAATCACATGAGGGGAAACAACTGAAACCAAGGATGAAGCATCAACTGGGAAAGCATAGGATTGAAACCAAAGGACAAGCATCAATTAGCAAGCACACAACTGAAATCACACGAGGGGAAACAACTGAAACCAAGGCTGAAGCATCAACTAATAAATGTGCTCAGAAAAGGCAATTTATTTCATTATCTGCCCCGCCATGAATTTTATAATAGCAATGTTGGCTGCAATATATTGCCTCGCCAATACATTGCTGTTATAAACTTTGGCTGCATATCTGAAAAAAAGCCCATCATCATGACACAAAATATGCATACCTCATTAACTTTAATTCAACGAGGTGAAACCATTCACCTTTCCCCACTTGTAAACCTGTTCAAACAAGTTTGCATTAGCCAAATAATATTCGATAAAACATTTAAAGTCACGGCTGAGATGCATGATTATAGAGATAGTTGCATTAGCTTTGCACAAATGATAGAGATAGTAGCATTAGCTTTACACAAAATATACATCTACCATTGTTGATGTATCCAAAAGGATGAGCAATCATCTAGCTCATTTTCATACCAAAATAATTACACACACATGGATATAATTAAGTTAGTTTCACAAAAATATCCCAAAAGCTAGGCAATCCACAATACCACCAATCTAATCAAGAGGATGACTCTTCATGAACTCAGTCAACACCTTCTTTTGCATAATAGTTGGCCTCCCCATAAACAACCTAGCTTGTGATTCATTCTCATGCAATTCTTGATAAAAGTTATCAAGAATCTCTATGTCGAATTCATCATCATGTGCAAATATAGCCTTTGCCAACTTCTCCGTCCAATGCATACTCACCATGCGCATAGATGAGGTGAATTGTTTTACCTCACTTACTATCTCACGCATAAGCACCATGTCCTCACTAGACCTCCCCCCCCCCCTTTCCTTTCTTCATAATGTTTCATGGGCTTGTTGATGTATTCCCTAAGTTTAGAACTATTCATACTCTTGTCCTGCATAGTTAAGGCATAGTTAAGGCATAATATCAAATACTTATATAGACAACATTGAACAAATTAGAAATATTTTTAGGTGTAATGACCACTAGAAAATAATTCATACCTCTAGCCATCTATCAAAGCAAGCCTCATCCATAGTTATCATCTTTTGTGCATCATCCCAACCGGCACCGCTCAAGTTACGACATTTTTGCATGTCCAAGAATCTATTACGAATAGTTTTCATACGATTTTCCACGTTCTCGGTGGTGAACGATGAACCTAATTTTTCATTTATATGAAAGGCGGCGCTACAATAAGCGGTTTTTTTGAACTTCTTATCCGCCTTCATTCCATCTTTAGCACACTTTGCAAGAAAAGAAATTAGCAAATCATCATGTTTACTCTCCCATATTTGGTTAACTCTCCGCTTGCTAGCCTCTTTTTTTTAGGTTTATGAGCAATAGCTTTCTTTCTCCTCTTTGGATTAGGAGATGAACTTTCATCACCATCGAGGCAAATATCACTTCTCTTGTTGCTTTGTGATTGTTGATTAGGTGACGGAGTTTCACCCATGCTACAACTTTGACGTTGTAAAGTTGGAGGAGCATTTAGCATGCTCATGAATGACATTGGGGGTGGTTGGCCCATGCCCCAAAAGTTAGCATCATGCATTTGAAAATTATTCCAAAGATTAGAACCTTGGCCAACTTGTGAAGAGTGATAAGGCATAAATCCCGGATTGAACCCACAAGGGATTGATGAATTCCTTGGGGTTCTAGGTGATGAATTTGATGTCGTACTCTTGCCTTTGACCTTATCAAGTTCCTCACAATTGAAGTTGTCGGCCATACCTAGAAAATAGTTGTAGAGAAATGTGAAAAATAAACGCAAGTTTAGTAAAGAAAGTGTCCTAAGAAAAAATTCCATACAACACATAATAGTAGCATACTAATATTTCTAAATTAACACATAATAATACCTAGAAAATAGAAATATTGATACACCACATAATTGTAACATACAAATGTTTCTCAATTAACCTTACATAGTTTTGCATCACACCATCATAAAATAAAGTACATGAAATAGAAAAATGCATAACATAAGATAGTATACCTAATACATTGCATCACATGCCTACTTCATTAGTATTCCCTCCCTTATATTTTTCACAATAATCAACCCACATTGCCCAAGCTATTTCATCTCTACGATCCTTCCATACGATTCTTGATTGTGTTTGCTCCCTTAGAGTTTGGGGTTGAGAGAAATCAACAATATTATTCTCATCTTCCGTAGCAACATCACCTTCATCATCTTCGATCTCAACGGTCTCATTGAATATGTCATCATCCGGGTCCACCATTGCAATATAATTGTGAAGAACTGCACAAGCTAATACGATATCCACTTGTGCGCGGAAAGGGTAATGAGGCTTTGCGGTAAGAATTTTGAAACGATTCTTCAAACAACCAAATGTAGATTCGATCTTAGACCTTAAAGAAGAATGTCTAAGATTGAACAATTCCCTTCTATTTTTAGGTGTTCTTCCTATTTGTTCCTTCAAATGGTAACGAACACCACGATATGGGGAGATGAAACCCGGCATGGTCGTGTATCCCGCATCACACAAGTAATATTTTCCTACAATTTATATGATGTGAAAGTGTTTAGTAGAATTTTTTGTCATTTCATTGAATATCATTTATTAATTGAAGTAATTAAAACAAAATTGAAGAATTGATGAAATTACCATCATATACTTTCAAACCATGGGGTTGTGGTCTAGACAATGCATCTTGAAGGACTCTAAAGTCATTTGCAGAACCTTCCCATCCAGCTAATACGTAAGTGAATAACTTGTTTGGGTTACAAGCCGCTAAAACATTTTGTGTAACACCTTTTCGACCACGAAATCGTAGTTGAAGATTAGCCGGTAGCATAGCATCAACATGTGTCCCATCTATCATACCAATACAATCCTAAAGGATAAAAAATTATTAT